CCGAGGAAGATCATTTTAAGGAGAATTTGGTTGATAACCCTTTTTTAAAATGCTGCAGTAATCAAACAGAATGAGGAATGAGAACATTAGGTCATTCCTAGGTTGTCATCCTACAAAAGCTTCCTCACCATTTCAAGAAGCACTTGGGCCTTTAATCTGTAATTTATTTAAAAGTTGATGAGCCTGATGTGGTAATGATCATACTGTGGACCAAAATTATTCCTTAACTGTGAAAATTACCAATCATACCAATTTATTTAAATTATCTGTGTTCTGTAAACAGACAGTTACTCAGTTTTAAAGTTATTGTACCATTTGCTTCTTCTGTTTGTTTCTTCTTAACCTCCTCATTTGATTTTTAAAAAATAATTTTAGATTGTTATCAGTTGTGCTGGATTAGATAAGGTAATGCAAATTGAAACTGTACCATTTTCTTTAGTCTTCAGAAGAGTAAAAGACTAGGCACCCCAACATGAACTTTTTTTTTTTTTTTTTTTTTTTTTTTTAGTGTTTATTTTGAAAGACAAAGAGTACATTCATGAAAAAGAGGGGCAGACAGAATCCCAAGCAGGTTCCACGCTCAGCAGGGAGCCGGATGTGGGGCTCAATCTCACGACCAAGGGATCTGAGCCAGAATCAAGAGTCTGTTGCTTAACTGACTGAGCCTTCCAGGCACCCCTCCAATTCTTCTTTGGTAAAGGGGTGGGTTAACGTTAATGACTTTCCAATTTTAAAAATAAATATGTAGGGAAGTTGGGAATTTTTATCTGTTGGATTCTCTATATGAACGCAGCCTAGAACAGTATTGATGTAGGCACTAAAATTCTTTCATGTATAAGGCAGCGGTTAAAAATGTGGGCCATGGGGGTGCCTGGGTAGCTCAGTTGGTTGAGCATCCAACTCTTGATCTCAGCTCAGGTCTTGATCTCAGGATCTTGAATTCAGGTCCCACTTTGGGCTCAGTGCTGGGCATGGAGCCTACTTAAAAGATAAAAAGAATGTGGGCCATGGAGGGGTCCTGGCCGGTTCAGTCAGTAAAGCGTGCAGCTCTTAGCCTCAGGTTGGTGAGTTCAAGCCCTATATTGGGCATGGAGCCTATTTTAAAAAATAATAATAATACGGGGCCATAGTATCAGTACTGTATTCTGTCCCCATTTACCATTTTAAGACACCTTCCAAGTGTTCTCTTGAGAAATCCGTGAGCATTAGATTAGACTTCTCTGGTCTTTTTAAAAATACATTTGAAATCATATTGTATAGATAATCTCTCTTATTTGTCATTTCATATTATAGCATAAGCATATTTGTCCATCCTTTCTAAAGACTGCATGGCATTTATACAAATTGTTGTGACTTGACCCAGTGTTAGACTAGATTGTTTCCAGATGTTTGTTATTAAAACATATCAGTGAACACATTGGTGCATCAAGTGTCATTCACACATTTCAGATTGCAGGTTTCCTGCATTGGAATTATTAAGGAAAACAACTCCACATTTTGATTCATGTTGCTGCATTTCAGAAAGGTTGCACCAGTTTACCAACATAAAAGTATTTGAGCATATTGTTCTTAGCCTACTTTCTCACTATTTTTAAATCTTTAATCTTTGGTCATTTGATAAATGAATAATTTGCTTTATCAAAATTTTGATGGTCAAAACTGAAGTTTTTCTTGTATTTTATGTTTAATGAGTGGTCTTTAAGACTAATTTATTTGTCTAAATGCTTGCAGTATTTGACAAATGAGTGCCTAATATGTGCCAACAACTGTTTGTCTAGACTGTAGGAATTTAACTTTGAACAAAAAGTCCTTGCCCTCATGGAGTTTATAATCTAGTACAGTAGGCCTCCCCTTATCAACAAAGGGATATGTTTCAAGACTCCCAGTGGATGTGTGGAACCTCAGTACTGAACCCTGTATAAACTGGTTTTTTTCTATTCCTACATATCTGTGATGAAATTTAATTTGTAAATTAGGTGCAATAAGATATTAATAGTAATTAACCCAATTATATCAGTATACTATAGTTAAAGTTATGTTGAATGTATCTCTCAGAACATCTTATTGTACTGTACTTGCCCTTGTTGTAGTGATGTGAGAAAAAATGCCTACATGATGAGCTGAAGTGATGAATGACATTTGCATGTGGTATAGTGTGAGGCTGCTATTGACCTTCTGACAATATGTCAGGAGGAGTATCACATGCTTCCAGACTGTGGTTGGGGGGTAGGGAGGTGGGTAACAAATTGCAGAAAGCAAAATGTGGAAAAGGGGTGACTTATAGTTTAATTCCACTGATTTGCTTACATTTCCTTAATAATAATGCTGATACCTTTGTGTTTGCATTTGTTTTCCTTAGGTTTGGGTATAGAAGGTTGTCCTTTTTGTATGTAATCATTGACTCTTTGCAGTTTTTTCTGTTTTCAAATCTAGAAAGTCTTCCTTCCAAAAATTTTATTAATATGCATGTTTGTATTTAATATCTGTTAGGGTATTTAGGTCTATCTTGATTATATTTTTGTATGCTGTAAGGTGAACAACTAAATTGTTCCCCCGCCCCCATTTAAAAAAAGCCAAATAACATTTACACTCTGGTCCTTTCCTTCCATTCCCCCTCCCCCCTTTTTTTTGATGTGTCTTTATCTTAATTTTTTACAAAGAAGCATCTGTTGTTGAGCTATCTGTTTTTTCCATTGGACTTAACACTTTTATGTAATTGGCGTTTTGTGTGTGTGTGTTTAATGAACTTTCTTTTTGTTTAATGGCACTTCTTTAAAGTTTTAGTGGTGCTGGTTAAGAAAATCTTACAGTGCCATAGAAATGTAGTTCAGTCTGAATTGTAAAGAATTCTTTGAAGAGAAGGGTGTTAACATATTGCTTTATCTAAAGTTGCTCCAGTGCCATGTTTTTCCTAAAGGAAAGATGAGGCCCCCCAAATGGATAAAGGCTAGAGAAAGAAACTTCAGTCAGGAAAGATGGGAGGAGAAAGGAAAGACCCTTTTTCAATTCTGCTTTGATACTCATTTTGAGGTGAGATGAGACTAAAGAGCAATACAGTCCAAGTTCCAGAACCTTTGTTGGGGAATAATAATCTTAGAGGGAAAGGATAGCTCTGATTCCTTGTATTTCTGTTTCATTTTCCCTTAGAAAAACAAGTCTGACCTTGTACCTGCAGGAATATGTGATAGGACTGGAGACTTGAGAATGTGGTTTTTGGGACTTCATGGCCTGTGTGTTACAAATCACAGTATTGTGTTCTTACCTGTATGGTAATAACTCTAGTCCAAATAGCACAGCTTGAAAGTCATGATCCAAGACATGTCTTGGATCTAGAATATGGTCTTCAAATTAGTTTGATCATATTGTTAGTTAAAGCATGTATAGTCAGTGTGTATATGTGTAGATACTTCTAAATCGTGTAATTATACTAGACACATCGCATTTGTGTTATAAAACATAGTCCTACAAATAAGGAAGATAAAGATGGAAAAGGTGCCTGGTTGGCTCAGTCAGAAGAGCTGGCAACTCTTGATCTCGGGGTTGTGAGTTTGAGCCCCGTGTTGGGTGTAGAGATTACTTAAATGAATAAAAACTTCAAAAGAAGAAAAAACATCTAACTTACATTTTGGGATGTCTGGCTGGCTCAGTCGATAGAGCATGTGACTCTTATTAATCTTAGGATCGTGAGTTAAAGCCCCACATTGGGCATGGAGCCTACTTAAAAACAAAAGATGAAATAAACAATACCATAAAAATAGTTTACCTATTAACAGTACAGAAACTTCCCCCTCGCTAAAAATGTTATGTCTAAATGCTTAGTTTATAAGTGTTTTAAAAATGTATACCATCACGAATTAATATCAGAGGGACAGTTTATGTGCAGTGTGTTTTATTGCTACTAGTATAAGTCTGTATCATAGTCTTGATATTAACGTTTGGCAGACTTATCAGATCTTAAATTAGATGATCATTTTACGTCATGTAGAGGTTAAAGAACTAATACTAGGATTAGAAGTGTCAGGGCCCATTTTCTTTGCTGGTGCTTGCCTTATATTAACATTTTTTTTTCTATCTAAGAGTCTTGTGTAGCAATCTTTTTCAACCGTTTGTCTTTTTGTAAAAAAAAATTTTTTTAACGTTTATTTTTGAGACAGAGACAGAGCATGAACGGGGGAGGGTCAGAGAGAGAGGGAAACACAGAATCCGAAGCAGGCTCCAGGCTCTGAGCCGTCAGCACAGAGCCCGACACAGGGCTTGAACTCATGGACAGTGAGATCATGACCTGAGCCGAAGTCAGACGCTCAACTGACTGAGCCACCCAGGTGCCCCCTGTTTGTCTTTTTGTGAGGGCTGTTTAAACTAGATAGCTACGTTTGTCCACTTAATTGGGCAAATATAAATTGTAATATACTGAAAGTAAATGAATGAGGGCTTCACTGTCAGCCTCTTGTGGAGTTTTTCACCCTCCCTCAGAACACCTAAGTAATGTATGCGCAGTGTGATATTATCTAACATACCACTCAGTCCTTTCCTGAAAATATATGATATTTATAATAAAGCTAAGTTTATCTATGGGCAAGATAAATAATATAGTTGTAATATTTTCTTCCACATCCTATTGGATTATTGTTGTGCATACTCTGAAGAGTCAAATAACTGAAAATACTGGATTCCGTGTGAAGTTGTGAGACGTTGAGAAGAAGTTGGGCTGAATTGTGTCATTGTAGCAACCACCAGTGACTCATTATGGCATTTAAAAAATTGTAAATGTTGTGGATTAGGGATTGTGAAAGGGCTTTAAAAGATACATTTTAGCTTGACCTCTTAATGTTAACACTATAATTTCTTTTGTCAATAGAAACCTGATTCAATGAATTCTGTTTTGCTGAAGTAACCTAAGGGTAAATCTGTAAAGGTATAGAAGTTGACTATCAAGTGTGTGTTAAATTGTTATTGATCATAGTTATAAACATTGTGCTATGTTACCACAGCTGTTTGAGATGGAGAACGTTTTTACTGTATCATCAGATCCTCATCCCCCTCCTGCAGCCCCTCCTTCACTTTCTTTACCTTTATCTTCATCTTCTACCTCATCTGGGACTAAAAAACAAAAGAGGACCCCCACGTATCAGAGATCTGTAAGTCAGGGAAACAGTCATCCCAGCTCATTTTGCTTTGTGTTAAGAGCATGACTTAGGAGGGCCACTCACTTTGGTTGAAGTAACCTGCAAACTCACTTTCTAACTTCTCTAGGCATTTCCTTCACCCTGAATCATGAAAGATAAGTAGTTTAGGCCTTGCTACTCATAGTGTGTCCAAGAATCTAAAGCATTGGTACCACCTTGGGAGCTTGTTAGAAGTGGAGAATCTCAAACTTTAACTCCTGCCTCCACTGCAATCAGTATTTTGTATTTTAGCCCTAGTTCAGAACCCAGATTGTAGAGGTAGGCCTTCTTGGTTTAAATCCTCTACCATTTAACTTTGGCAAGTCATTTAACCTTTCTGTGTCTGTTACCTCATTAGTAAAATGAGGATAATATTACTTTCTCTTGGGCTTTGTAAAAAATTAAATGAGTTCATGCATGTCAAACAGAAGAATGTCTAGTATGAAAGAACTAGAACTTAATTACCTACAGATTTAATGGCTTTGATTTGCATGGTTTGGCCATCCCATGTACTGTTTAACTACTCATACTTGGGTTTATTGTTCTACAGTCTTAGTCTTTTTATTTTCCTAAAGAAAAATATTTTTATTAATAGTGCCCAACATCACATTTAAATGAAAATGCTTCTTAATAAGTCAAATTTTCAATGGAAGAGTCTAAAACTAGTAAAGATGTGGATATGTTGCTGTCATAGTAAATCAGTTACAGACCTAATCTCTCCTAGGGATTTTTCCTCTTTTTATCCATCACTTACATTAATAATTTGTTTTTATGGTTTTACTCAAATAAGGCAAAATGAAATCTCCAATGTGATAGACTGTATTTGATGATCTAACATGTTCCATTGCATTATATTTAAATAGCTCTTTTCACTAAAGAATGTTTTCCTTTGTTTTACCTGATCGTAGAAGCAAATGACAGTATTTAGAGATTTCATCAGCATCTGAAACGGGTGAAAAGATTTCTTTAAATATACTGTGAAATGATTAAAACATTTTTAGATTTGAAGAGTTTTTGTTGTCATGGACTTCTGTCTTAGAAAAATCCTGTTTTCTAAGGGTTATCTTTCACTGAAGAATCTGTTGCATTACTCTAATATTTTGTAGTTTGAAATAAGTATTGCATACAAAGTTTGTTTTGTTTTCATCTCTACTAATTTAAGTAATTGCCTTTGGATGCATGGCTTACCATATAGTGTTGATTTCTATTTAAGTTTCAAAGTAGGTGTTAGCAAATTTCTTAAAGAAGTGTTTTGGTAGTCTGGGTTGCCATCCCTTGAATATCAGTTACCTTTGTTCTGAAATTATTGTTTTAGTAGTAATTTGAAGTTAACATAAAGGCAGCTTATACTTAACGTAGTTGCTTTACCTTAACACTAAACTCCAGAAATCCTATTTGTCTGGTAAGTGAAAATTCTACCATAAATTGGGGCAGTTCCTTAAAATAAATGGAATTATTTCTTCTGAAATATTTTATTAGCTAAACTAACATTTCAATAGTAAAATCCCATAAACTTTGCTTTACCGATTTTATCTTTATTTGCTTGTTTATATTAAAAATTTAGTGATTTGTTAATCATAAAATGCTTTAATGTACAGATCTGAATATATTAAGTTCTTTTTCTTCTTAAAACAGATGAGCTTTGATCCAAACCTTCTCCATAACAATGGACACAATGGGTACCCCAATGGTACTTCAGCAGCACTGCGTGAAACTGGGGTTATTGAAAAACTGCTAACCTCTTATGGATTTATTCAGTGTTCAGAACGTCAAGCTAGACTTTTCTTCCACTGTTCACAGTATAATGGCAACCTGCAGGACTTAAAAGTAGGAGGTAATCTGTCATTGACTATTCTTTTTAAAAAACTAATCACAGATTTCTCTTGCATATCATCTTGCTCGTGACAGTGTTCTACTACTTTTGGCCTTTTCATTGTCCCAGTTACTGAAATGTATCTCTGTAAACTAACAGAATCCTGATTTCTCTTGTGGTGGTGTCTTTTTGAGGGATAAAGGACTAATTGACTTAAAGATATCTTTGAATATTTTTTCAATAGATACTTGGAAGATCTAATTGTTCTCCCCCATAATAATGATTTTAGCTGTATATTAGATTTTAAACCAATGAAAATATTAGACTTTTATAGTGTTAGTTTTGACTATTTTATTAAGTACTAATTTTGGTAGTACCTGAGAAAAATAACTCCTACAGTGTCACCACTTGAACTATTCATCTTGGCTGACACCATAGAAATTACTTTCACATGTGAAAATGTATGGCTTATTGGAAGACTGAAGTTACAAGGTGTCAAGGTGTGTGTGTTTAAAGATTTTATTACAATTTTTTTAATGTTTTTATTTATTTTTGAGAGAGAGTGAGGGAGCATGAGCAGAGGAGGGGCAAAGTGGAAGGGGACAGAGGATCCAAAGCAGGCTCTGCACCTACAGCAGAGAGCCTGATGCAGGGCTTGAACTCCGAAACCAGGAGATCATGACCTGAACCGAAGTCAGACACTTAGATTCAACCACCCAAGCACCCCCTCGGTGTGGTTTTTTTTTTGTTTTTTTTTTGTTTTTTTTTTTTAAGTATATTTGGGAAAAAAGAGCAGTAGTTTACATGCATATTTGGCATACCAAATACTCTAAACCCTGCAAGAACATTATTTTGGTTAATCCTTACTTTGCAGATGAGGAAACTGAGATACAGAGAAGCTTAAGAAAGAAGAAAAGTTGCCAAAGGTCATGATCTTTATATCGCCTCATTTTCAGTATTTGTTAAATGTGAAAACTAAGACGTTTCTATCTTAGAATAAAACAGTGGTTCTGACGCATTAGTATGTATCAGAATAACCTGGAAGGCTTGTCAAAACAAATTGCTGTACCTGGTGCCTAGAGTTTGTCTTTCAATAGGTCTGAAGTGGGGCGGGGCCCAGGACTTTGCATTTCTGCTAAGCTACCAGGTAATGTGCTGCTGCTGCTGCTGGTCCAGGAACTGCACTTTGAGAAGTCACTGGTCTAAAACATCTCAAATGCTACATTAAGTTTGGCTTGAAAGTGAAGTACCATTTTGCCAAAATTAGTCCAACACATACAATACTTATACTTTATTTTAGATGATGTTGAATTCGAAGTATCATCTGACCGGCGGACTGGGAAACCCATTGCTGTTAAACTGGTGAAGATAAAACCAGAAATCCTCCCTGAAGAACGAATGAATGGACAAGTTAGTGGCTTTGATGCTTTGTGTTTTCTTAGGGCCCTGCATTTGCATATCTTTCACATTAGAAAAGGAAGATTCTCCCCATCTCCTCAGTTTGCACGCAAGAGAGCTATAGTATATAAAGATTACTATCTTAAAATTCTAACAGAAGCACTGGCATTTCTTGACCTGAAATAAAATATGGTCAAGACTCAATTTGGGTTTTTACATATAACCCTAAGACTACACTTACAGTCAGCTTATGTACTGTAAGTTTGAAACTTGGCAGCATGACATCCTCTTGTGGATCATATTAAAATGCATCCCTATGTATAGTATAGAGGATATTAAAATTCAGTTAATATTGCACAGTGCTGCTCCTGAAATGATTAGCAATGGAAATTTTTTTTTTTTTGACTGGTAGGTTGTGTGCGCTGTTCCTCACAACTTAGAGAGTAAATCTCCAGCTGCCCCGGGTCAGAGTCCAACAGGGAGTGTATGCTACGAACGTAATGGGGTAAACTTGTGTATTTTTCTTAAACCTTTGCCTGATCCACCATGTGATCTATAAGCGTACTTTAAAATTCAAAATAGAAAACGTAAGCTGCAGTTGATAAATTCAGTTTTAAATTTGGTTTCTAAGAGACTTCGAGTGCAGCATAATCAAAAACTTTAAAAGGAAAAAAATCCTTAGGACTTCCAAGTGTCTTAGCTTGCCCAAGTGTGACCTTAGTTAGAACATTAAGGTAAAATGTTCCTTTTACTCAAATTTTTGGGGGTTGTGGGAGGGGATCTTTTTTCTGGTTCTTTTTAAGCACTAACTCCATCTTTTTTGTTTGGAATGCCTTACATAAAAATTGTTTTTTTGAAATGTAACTACAGTCTCTGGGCAAATGCTTCCACGTGTGTAAGCTTTTTGAAGTTGGATTGCTGCTCAGCTGTGGACTCGCAGAAGTCATCAGCATCATGGAGGGGAAGTGTGTGTTTATATGAATAAAACAATGTACTTGTCATAAAGCATTGTTAAGACATTTGGTTTAAAATGCCAGTTTAAGAGTTATTTAACAAAGTAAATCACAGTATACAGAGAATATGCATCCTGCCAGTATAGTAATAACAACTTATTAATTCACAGGAAGTGTTTTATCTGACTTACACCCCTGAAGATGTCGAAGGGAACGTTCAGCTGGAAACCGGAGATAAAATAAACTTTGTAATTGATAACAATAAACAGTAAGTTCTTTTTTTCCACTTAAGTTGGGAGTTTTTGTTTTGTTTCTTTTGTTTGTGTGTCTTCCTCCTCCCCCCAAGGAGAAGAAAATTGAAGTACGTTGAAAACCTAACTTGTAAATTTGGATAATTTTAATGATAATTTTCATGATCTTTTTTTTTTTAATGTTTATTTATTTTTGAGAGAGAGAAAACACAAGCAGGGGAGGGGCAGAGAGAGGGAGACACAGAATCTGAAGCAGGCTCCAGGCTCTGAGCTATCAGCACAGAGCTTGATGGGGGGGCCCAAACCCACAAACCGTGAGATCATGACCCGAGCCAAAGTCAGACGCTCAACCGACTGAGCCACCCAGGTTCCCCTTCATGGTCTTTTAAACTTTTCATCAGCTAAGCATTTGAGGGTCTATGCTATGATGGGCACTGTGCAGCTGTCAAAAATAGGAATATAAAGTTATGGTCCGAGCTTTCAAGGAGCTGTTCTAGAAGTCCGTGAAAGTTGCGCAGTGCTAAAGAGAAGTTTTGAGGGAAATGGTGTAAAGTCACCAGGGAGATGAGGGGGAGGAAATAGCATTCTGAGTAGAAGTGTAATCTTGAGGAAATGGCCAAAAGTTTTGAGTTTGATTGAATTGATTGGATCATAGGAAGATGAAGTTTGAGCTTTATCCCATAGTCCTAGGACTCTGGAGGGATTTTAAATTGGGCGGGGGGGGGGGGGGGG